CCTGTATTGTCCTCTGAGGAAAGTGACAGCTGACCAAATTATTAACATAAATGGAAAAAATAGCAAAAGCTGCTTGGTCATGGGTGTGCTGACTTCTCCGAGGATGATCTCAAGCTTGTTGGCATGTGAGATGATTTCAGCTGGCTTGGAGCTGTGGGATTTTCTTCCTTTTCCTGTGCACATAAGCAATAAATTTTTGGACCTAATAACCATGTTACCCAGCTCAAAGCTAAATGATGAGCTTTTATCTTGCTTGGCTCTTATGCTTAGCTAAGTCCTTTGGTGTGGGAGTGCTCTGTGGCCCTCAGATCAAACTCACATCAAGTATTTTCTGCCTGGCAGCCACTTCTCTCTGCTGCAAACTGCCCACGGGATCTTGCTTAGAATTTAGGTGGCAGCAAAAATCTTTGCTCACAGTTATTAAGTGTAAAGCTGGCAGCCTGTGTTTTGAGGCCGAAAGAGAAGCCGTTTGTATCCTCTGTAATGTAATGATTTGCAGTGTAACATCCCCAGGATGTTTTTGCTGCCCTGGTGGGCTCCTGTGGAGGAAACACAGTGCTGGATCACTGGCTCGTCCATGCAGCAGAGCAAAGCATTCTGCAGCAAAAATTTCTGTACTTCCAGAGTAGTAAGGACCATTGGCATTGGGCAAGAGCTCTCTCAATTTATTATGAAGTTGGCAGTTGGCAGCACTGGTATTTTTAATATATTTTTATATATATTATATATATATTATGTAGCACTTACATTTTTAATGACTTACAGTTGGAGCTCTCTCCCAGTGCTGTGCCTCCTGCTGTGCAGGGTGTTTGAGGGGTCTTCAGGGTAGAAAATGTAGGCAGAAAGAATGTTGTTTTTCTAGTGTTGTGTAGACTGACACTGTCAGACTGATTCTTTGGTCAGAGTTGTAAACTAGATCTTCCTTCCCAGCTTTCTGTGACTTCTTTTGGCATGCAAAGACCCATGAGCTGGAATCTCATCATCATCCCATCATCCTTCCAAGGATAATTTAGGAATGTCACATGGAGCAGCAGCTCACAGTACTTACAGTGTTGCATAGTGCTCCAGCAGCAGCAATTCAATCGTGTTTGGGTTCCAGCCAATGTTTGTTGTCCTCCTTGGAAATGGTATTGATTTTGGAGCTCAGGAGCCAATTATGGCCAATGTGATACTCAGCACCTCACATCCCAGGATGACATGTGCTAGGGAAGCTGCTCTGCTTCAGCTGGGGCTGCCAGGTGGGCCAGTGAGGCTCTGGACAGACTCCATACCTTGTAAATCACCTGTGCTGTGAGTAAGCAGTTACTCACACCCTAAATGTTATTTGACATGTTGGCTGGGTTTGGTTTGCACAGGGACTGGCATTAGTTTGATACTTGTGCCAGTGGAGAGCAGCCCCACAGGCTTTTGGAGCCCACCAGCGCTTGGTACCCAGCATTGCCAGGGAAAATCATCCTGGACTATCACAATGATCACATCTTGTTGAGGCTGGTGGTGTTCCATGCCAGAGACCATGGATGGAATGACAGCTTGAGCCTGGAAGCCTGCTCTTCCAGACTGTGGTAGCTGTCATGTTGGGCAGCAAATGATGGTTACAGAGCCTGCAGGCAGCTGAACTGCTCCTGGTGCCTTCTGCTAGCAACTCTGCAAAGCCAGAACAGCAAAACCAGAGAAATCTTAGGGCTTCATCCCAATGAAAGGTCAAAATAAAAACCCTGATTATAATAAACAAAGCCCAAATCTCTGATCTTTTATCTGTGTTGATAATGCACTGATCAGAAGTGGGGGAGTGACTGCACTCTGATAAACCAGTTACAAGAGGACCTTGAGAGCCCAGCAGAGAGATTTCTGCCCTGTGGAAGGACAAGGGATATGGCAATGCTGGAGCTGTGGGGGCCTGGAGCTCTGTTCTCCTGCGGGGAAGTGGTGGTGATGGTGAGTTGGTACTGGAATGTGGGTAATTCCTCTTTTTGCACTTTATTTATTACTTTACTCTGCCTCGCTGAATCTGTGCTAATGTTAAAAGTGGTGTTTTCAGCTCTCTTTGGGTTTTGCTTCCTGGGCAAAGCACCATCCCACATGGCTTATTTAACACTGTTTAGATTAATTTGTTGAGCTTTCAGCCTAGGTTTGTTTCATTAAAATTTGGGCTGTACTTTTCTGTCTGGCTGCCTAGTGGAAACAGTGTCCAAAATTGGTGTTTCAATCACTTCCTATATATTTTTCCAAGTTAATTGAATCATGAGAAGCAGATTATTTAAGCAAATACAATGGCCTTTGTCACACTTCATAGGGCCTGTTAAACACATAAACCCAGAAATTATTAACACTTTGAGTAATTACAAGTGCAATGAGCAAATCAGCCTTCCTTCCCCCTGAGGAAGAGCTTGATGAGGTTTCCTTGGGGCAGCTCATCCAGAGCAGCTGCTGCTGGAGTAAAATAGGATAATGCCTCTGTCCACCACGAAATGCTGCATCTTCAGTCACATCCCTGGCCCAAAATTGTATTTAAATCGGTATTTAATGAATTGCAGTCCTATCACCTGTACAAAGCAGGAATATTCTCTTCTGTTTATAGAGCAGGAAGTGAGCTGTGGTCTCGCTGCCAGTAGTGAGTTGTCAGTGGGCTTGGGCACACCTGGGATGTGCCCACTGCAGGTGGGATCAGGTGAGAACAGGACCCTGGAACATGGAGCTCAGCAGCACTTGTTTTGATCTTTAGTTTCTCCATGCCAGGTGATGCAGGAAGATTGAGTTTGAAGGTGCTTTTCTGAGGCAAAGGGCTGGTGAGAAAATGGTGTTTTGCTGCAATAATTTGCTTCAAGCAACATGCACAGGTCTCTCTGACATAACATGCTGTTGATTAATGCACAAACTTACCCCCTCTCCCTGGTGTCTAGTTTTCATGTAAGCTGTGATTATTATAAAAGAAACATTGGCTTATGAAGCTAAACATCAAAATGCACAGGCAGAGCCCTCAGTGCCCCCACTGTTTGCAGTGTGTATGCTCAGGGTTGTTTTCATGCTACACACAATTGAGGTTATTGAAGAGAGCAAAATGTGTTTGTTATTCAGATCATTTTGGGTTTTCAGTGCTGTCAGTGTCTCAGGGAAGTGGTGCCTGAGGATTCAGAGGGGGTGAGGTTAAGAATTTATTACACTGTGTCTGGGGCTGTACAGAAACAACTCCCAAAGGTCTTGTTGAAGGAGGAAGAAAGGATATTGCATGGAGGAGCCAGGAGTGTGTGGACATGGAGACATGCAAGCACTTGCCTGAAGGGCCAGAGTGCTGATGCAAGAGCAGCAATGCTGGGCTTTATGCTGGGCTGCATTTCACCTCTGAGCTGTGTGTGTAACCTCCCCTGGCACATCTGCTGTGTCCTTGCTGGCTGGATCTGCATCTGACATCAGGTTCCTTACACCAAGTAGATTTAGCTGGGATTATGTATTTGTTAGTCTGGATCTGAACTGTTTGTTTCTATAATTTGCCAAGCAAAAATCAAAAATCCAGAGAATCCTAGAGCAGTGTATGCCTTCATTCCAGAGTCTGCATCTGGTTTTCTGGGCTGTTAATACATTAAGGGTTTTCTAAAACCATTAATAATTTGTATTAAATGGTTTAGCTGCAGATTTTTAACTACTTAACCACAACAGATTAGAAGCAAGTGGAATGGGATTATTCTTAGTATTTTCCATTTCCAAAGTAATTTACATTATTTTAGTATGTGCTTACTTTGTAGTCCCTAGTATAGATGTTACAGCATCCATCCCTTGCAGAGCTGTGTGGCTCTAATGCTGCAGGAGCCCACAGATGCATAGGGTGCCTCCTCTGCATCTTCAAAAATGAGGGATAGTGCCCAGGCTGCTCTGTCAACCTCCATCTCCAGTCCAGGAGTACAAAATTCGGGTTTAGATTAGAGTGGGAAAATGGAAACAAAAGAGGCCAGAACAGCTTGAGTGAAATGTTTGGAGAAATTGTATGATAGAGATTTAAGTCCAAGAGCACTGTGCTGCTTTGAGACTAAACCAGCAGGAGAATCCCCACAGAATTACCTTGAGAGAGATTTCAGGTTGGAGTTAAGATTTAATAGAAAGTTTGCAATATATGCAATGGTACACAGAAGACTGGCACAAAATCAGAGTACAGCCTGACACCCTGACCAGGCTGCTGATCACAATCCTGTCAAATGATGCAGTCATGGTCCTGTGGAAGTTCTGGTGCTCCTCTGGATCCATCCAGTGGTGGTGGTGATGGTAGTGTCGAGATTCTATCCGCTCAGGAATGCTCAGTACCTCCTCCAGGGCAGGGATTTTCACAATGGAGTGATGTAATAGTGTGAGTCGTAGGATATTTTTGGGAGTTCTTGATGGTCTAAGTTACAGCTCCTATTCTGGTGGTGCCCATTGTGGCCCCCTAGCAGAGATTACCCCCTTCAGGATGGATGTGACTGTGCTGGTGCTTCCCCAGAGGGGAGTTACCACAGCCCAGTCATTGGTGTGAAGAAACACTCCCCTGCCTCGAGGGGTTTGCTTCTTCTCCCTTATCTAATTTAACACCCAGCTTGTAGCCTGGGGTGTCCAGGTGTGGGCAGGGCAGCTCCTGCAAACCATATATAATATATATAATTAACAGTTTGTCAGGAATGAGGGGAGTAAAATACAGTTTGTTTACACCCACATTGGCACTCTCCTTTTGTAACCAGGACAAGCACTTGGGAAGGTCAACAGAACTGGTCACTGGCATCCAAGTGAACTGCTGAGCCACCTGCAGTTCCCTGTGTTGTCCTTGACAATCTCTGTGAATCCTGCCATGGAAATTGATGCAATCCTTACAAGAAAGAGCGTCACAGTAGGATCCTGTGAAGCAGCATGGGAAGCCCAGGAGGCTGGGATAAGGGGGCTCATCTCATCCTTGCACTGAGGTCTGTGCTAAGCACAGAGTGGACCTGGCTCTCCCTGCCTCTGAAACAAACCTGTGTCCTCCCCTTGTGTCTCTGCAGAGCTTCCTTCCTCGGAACACTTGAGCGTGGCCGATGCAACATGGCTTGCCCTCAACGTGGTGTCTGGTGGAGGTGGTTTCTCCAGCTCCCAGCCCATCGGAGTGACCAAAATTGCCAAGTCAGTCATAGCACCTCTAGCTGACCAAAACATCTCAGTGTTTATGCTCTCCACCTACCAGACGGACTTCATCCTGGTAAGAGGACATGAGGGGACCAGGCAGAGCTATTGCCACCAGATGAAAGTTCACTTGGGCAATTCTGGGAAGAAGTTGTCTGGGAGTGGCAGAAGCAGCAAAGTGAGCTTCCTCCAGAGCTCTGTTCCTTGTAGTCAGGCCCTCTGACATCTCAGGAGCTTTTGCCATGGGATAAAGCATTTGTTGTCATGGGTGGTCCGGTGTCTGATGAGAGTGCTGGGCCTACACTGCAGTCTCTCCTGAAATGCAGATACTGGCAGTACTTCCCACCATCAGACTTTGGTTTCCTGAAAGTTGGAGGAACATAGTGTCTGCTGTCAGGCTGGCTGCTGATGGCCAGGAGGCTCCAGAGTTGTTTTGGGTATAGACAGACAGCCTGTCTTCCTGTCACACACACGTGTGTGTGCATTTCCTTATTTCCTGAGGAAGCAAGACTGAGGAGCAGGCAGTGCTGAGCTGTTGAAGGAATGCTGGAAAAGAGGTGAAGCATCTCTTGGCTTAGAAATCTCCTCATTCTTTTTACAGTCATAAAAGCACTCTGGTGCTCAATCCTACTGATAACCAAGTGTGTTTCTCTTAAGATACACCTAATTGGTAACTATCCCCTGGCTCAACAGGAGTCGTGTCCACTTTGCTGTGCCCTAAAGTATGTTTACTCCCTCCCCTGCAGTGTTTTGTCATTTGTGGTGCACACCATCACCAGGTAATGCTGTTGTCACCTTCAGGTGCGTGAGCGAGACCTGCCCTTCGTGATGCACACGCTGGCTGCTGAGTTCACCATCCTCAGAGTAGTGAATGGGGAGACAGTGGCTGCTGATGACTTTGGGGTAACAAATGGATTTGTCAAACCAAAACTAGGTAAGGAGCAGCACAGGCTCAGCTTGCCAGGGGTTTGAGCTTCCTGATGCATGGGGTGAGAGTCCTGTCTCCTAGCTTCCTTCAACATTTGGGTGAATATTTATCCTGTTGTAAGATTATAATCCCACGAGCCTATCCCAGTACAGAGTAGGTTCTTAACTTTCTGAGCAGTCCTAGTAATTTTAGCTGAATTTTGGCCTTTTAATGCTAGTTTTTCTAGAGAAGACATGTCTTTTGTAGGACAGAAGGTTAAAGTATAGTTCATTGCAGTTGCAAAAATAATGTTGTGTATGTCTGTAGCCCATATTTCCATGCTTCAACATTCCAAAGGAAAATGGCTTCTCTAAAAGCATGTTTAAGTATTGCAATGATGCACAGAGGAGATTGAATTTCAACTTCCACACTTCAGTGCCAGTGAGGCTCAAGGCCACAATGAGCCCAGGGCTGTACAGAACCTTTGGATGTTTGCAGGCCAGAGGAACAAGTATAAAGCCAAAGAGAACAATCAGGAAAAGGAACAATTTATATACATATGTTTTCCTACAGACATGTGTGTAATTTTTTGCCTATAACCAGACAAAGCAGGGATCAGTTATCATGAAGAGCCACTCATTTTCATCACTGAAGAGCTAACAATCACCTTGTTTAAGAAAATGAGTCTTAAAGAAAAAAAGCATCAAGAAAGGGCACAGTGAAACACGTTGGTAATGCACTGGTATGCAGTTTGCTGTGTTGCTCTATTGGTTGCATGCCTAAATGCTGGCTGCTTTTCAGCCACTGGCTGCAATCTGTTAGACAAACTGCTGCATGGCAGCTGGTTTTTAATTTTTCAAGATATTATGGCAAAATAGGTCCGTAGAAATGAGGGAAAACAGGATGGACTGCCAACAACCACAGCTGGAGAAATGCCTTCCATAGCCCTGCCTTTTAATGGTGGAAGCCTGCATTTTTTTTCTACTTTTCAGTTTCTCTTGGCACTTCCTTTAGCTTGCCCCAATGCAATGCACCCTGAAAGCCCCTTGGAGCAGAGAGCTGGGCAGGGCATTCATGGTAACACCACCCCAAACCAGGGAGACAGCACAGGAGCAGATTATCCACAGGCCCCTCATTCCCTGTGTGAGAGCAAACAGGGCTTCAGCAACGAGGCACTGCCTCCCAAATGCTGTCAGCTTTCTCTGTGACCATTGCCAGTGCATGGATAACATGTTTGATGGGACAGGAGCCTGCTGCAGGTGTGGCTTCACAGCTGTGTGTGTCTGTGTGTGTCTCTTTCAGTTCAGAGGCCTGTCATTCATCCTCTTTCCAGTCCAAGTAATATGTTCTGCGTCACCAGCCTGGATCCAGATACCCTTCCCACTGTTGCTACACTCCTAATGGATGTCATGTTTTACTCCAATGGGTAGGTCCTGCAGGGAGATGGGCTTCCAGGAGAGCTGTGCCCTGGGTCTGGAGGCACAGATTCCCACTGCTCCTCTGGGGTGCCCAGGGATCTGCTGTGGCTCTGTGCTGCTCCAGTGCTCTGCTCTGAGGGAGAGAGGGAGGTTTCACAGGCTCAAGAGGGTTGTCCTGACAGGTGGAAGCCAAACAGGTGATGGAGGGTGCCCAGAGACATGGGCTGGCTTTGGAAAGCTGAGTGTTTTTAGAGTGAGGTAGGAGTAGCCACGTGGTCGGTGTGCCACAATCGGCACAGGGCCGGAGCACGTACAGCTGCCTGGATTGCTGCCCCTCGTGGCCTGTGGCTCGTCACCCACAGCCTCTTGTGAGGTCATCTTGAGGCAGGGATGGAGAGTTTTGTGGGGACTGGATAGTTTTCCACCTGCAGAATAAAAAAAAAAAATCAAATCAGTATAATACAGCAGGACTCGGTGTCACTTTGCTAAGTCAATGTAAGAACATTTCTGGTTTCACTGGCTATATCTGCTTTAAAAACCCTTTTTTGTGCTCTTCTAGCTTCAGTTAATGTCATCCTCTTCTGTTTCTTCAGAGTAAAAGACTCAGTGGTGGGCAACGAAGACTCGGGACACATTCGCTTTTTCTCCTTTTCTCTCATTGAGGGTTACATCTCCCTGGTCATGGATGTCCAGACACAGCAGAGGTGAGCTCTGGTCTTAGAGTAACCTGGACCTTGGTTACTGCACCTGAGAAAAAAGGATGCTCTCAAAGGAGCAGGAAGCAGCTTAGACTCCTAAGTGTTAATTATTTGGACTGTCTTTGTATGGGTGTCATGGACCTGTACACCCTGTCACTTTTCTGAGTAAAATCTGGCATTTTAGTTCCAATGTCTAAACTTTGGACTGATCTGTCCAAGCCCTTAGTAAAATCACAAATCAATGTGATGTAGGGTTAGCTCACTTTCAAAAGAGGAATACTGGAGCAAAGCGATTTTGGCATTTTTATTCTGTTGTGCATTAGCTGGGCTTACAAGAGCAAAACCCAAAAGGAAAACCTGGTGTAGGTGTTTGAAGTTTTCCTGCTAAAGGCCAAAATCAGGGTGGGGATGTCAGTGATGCAGTCCTCAAGCTTTGATTTTACCCGTGGGTGGGCTTGGTTCGGAGTCTTGTTGTGATGATAATGTCCTGAGTCACCACTGTGCAGCCAGAGCCTGAGACTTGTTTATCTAGCAAGGAAAGAGCCAGCTGGGGAGCCTTGGTGTGTGTCTGTGCTTCTGCAGCTGGGCAGCACAGGAGGCTCTGGAGGCTAGAGGAATGCTGTACTCAGCCCTGCTTAGACATGCAAGCTTGCTTTTGACATAGAGTACAGTTTGGGTTTGGTTCTTGGGGGCAAGTCTCCTGCCCCAGGGACATGTTCTTCAATTTAATAAATTGCCCTCTTGAAAGTTTCTTTGACCTTATTGGAGTAAACCTTTGTTTGTCATAAGAGCCAGAGGGCTGGAGCTTCAGCCTGGGGTGTGGGAAATCTGGAGGGCCAGTTCTTCTCTCTCACAGGCTGCCTGCTTGACCTTGGGCAACTCTCTTAGCCTCTGGTCTCCTTTCCCCTGCTAAGAAATAGAGACCTCTGCAGTGGTCCCAGGGACCTCCCAGGATGGTAGGGAAACAAGCACTGGTGGTGCTCAGACACAAAACCAGTGGTTACCATTGACATCCCTGAGAGAGGTATGGAAACATTCCATCCCTAGGTGTTTCCAAATGCAGCTCAAATCAAACCTTCACAGTCCCAACATTTGTAAAGGTGACACATTCTGTTGCTTAGAATTTTTTTCCCTGCCTCTCTGGATACCTGTGCCCACCTCCAGCAGCAGATGCTGATTTGCCATAGGATTCCTGGAGGGTCAGGCAGGTGCATCTGCCTCACCTGCCTTGAGATTTCCCAGCTTGCCCTAGCTACTGCCCGTTATTGCTGGCTTCAAACATCTCAAGGATGCAGGAAGAGCAGATCCCCCACAGGCAGAATCTGACACACTGCTGCGTTTTAATTGCTATGTTTGATGTTTGGTTTTTGTTTTTTACAGATTTCCTAATAATTTGTTGTTTACAAGTGCATCTGGTGAACTCTGGAAGATGGTGCGGATTGGTGGGCAGCCTCTTGGCTTTGGTAAGTAACATTTGGAGGATCAGCTGGTGTGCAGTCAGTCACCTCAGGGCCTTCAAGGGGCATGGAAAAATCCATCTGAGGCTGATGCTTTTAAAGAGCCAGCAGTGACTTTGTGAGCTGAGATTTTCAAATAGAAGCCTGACTCCTGTTAAGTTTGAGTTCTGAATATATTCCTGAAAGTGCTACATGCTTAACAGTTCCAGCTACATTGCATTCATCTGCTGAGGAACCTTTGGAGGTGGCTACAGCTGGGGCTCTGGTTAAAGAGAAAAACTGGAATAAAAAGTGGGATGGAAATTCATTGAAGATTCCTGAAATTGGTGGTCACGAAGCACTGTCATACTCCAGTGCAGCTGGAGCCCTGTGCACAGTTCTGGTGTCCCAAAATAGGAAACACATGGAACTGCTGGAGCAAGTGCAGAGGGGGCCATGAGGTTGGTGAGAGGACTGGAGCACCTCCCCGATGGAGACAGGCTGAGGGAGGTGGGGCAGTTCAGCCTGGAGAAGAGAAGGTTGTGTGGAGACCTCACAGCAGCTCCCAGGGTCTGAACGGGCTGCAGGGAAGCCAGAGAGGGACTTTGCATCAGGAACTGCAGGGACAGGACAAGGGGCCACGGGGACTAAGTAAAAGAGAAGGAATTTAGGTCAGATATCAGGAAGAAATTCTTCCCTGTGAGGGTGGTGGGACTCCAGCACAGGTTGTCCAGGGAGGCTGTGGATGTCCCAACCCTGGCAGTGTTCAAAGCTAGGCTGGATGAGGCTTTGAGCAACCTGCTGTAGTGGGAGGTGTCCCTGCCCATGGCACAGAGGGTTGGGACTAGAGAGTCTTTAAGGTCCATTTCAACCCCTTAACATTCTGTGATGATTCTCTGGTGAAATTGGTGTGAAATCCTGTTTCAGGGGCTGTGGTGGGCTGCAGCCAAGGAGCCAAGCATCCAGGCTGACTAATGGGTCAGCATCTCCTCTTCCAGAATTGCAGGACCAAGTGTTCAATAACAGAGAAAAATGGATGTTAAGAATATATGGGGCTGGGCTTTGTGCTTTCTTCTTGACATCGTTCAGTGCCTTTCTTTGGATCTCTAAATCATTCCAGTTCTAATGGTTTTGTGCCTTTGGAGAATATGTGTTTCTCTGTAGTAAAAAGCATGTAATAAAATGAAACATGTGGTGTATTGTGGCCCAAAAGCTTGATTCTGTGAGAAAGAATACATTTTATTACAGAGATTCCTTCTGATTGGTGTTTGTGAAGACAAACTTCTCCATATGTAGGCATGGAGCTGGTGAGCTCTGAGACTTTTGCAAGCCCCTCCAGACAATATTTGATTTTTTATCTCCCCACAGATGAATGTGGAATTGTCGCTCAGATTTCTGAGCCTTTGGCCGCTGCTGACATCCCAGCCTACTACATCAGTACTTTTAAGTTTGATCACGCCTTGGTGAGTATGAACACAGCTTCTTTGGAGTAGGGGAGATCTTTTCCTTAGAAAACTCATTATGAGAATGTCACTTCTCATCTGGATAGCTCGTTGGAGTGCCTTTGCCCCAGTGTAGCCCAGCTAACTCCTGTCTCCAGCTCCTGGCTGTCACTTCCCTGGGGGAGAGGCTTCTGAAACAAGCCCAGCCTACCCAAAGCAAAGCTGTGTTAGTGAGTGTTGTCTCAAAAAAAGCTGGTCTCAGTCTTTAGAGACCTGCAGGGATGGAGACTTCACAACCTCCCTGAGCAGCTTCTTCCACTGAATCTCTGTCTTTTATTAGAAACAGCCACAAACCCTTCCATCACTTCCAACAACAGTTGTAGGCTGCAGACTCACAGGACAGTGCTGTGACAACCCACCCTTGAGGAGAAGGTGCTTCCTTCCCCCTAAGAGTGGGTCATCAGAGGCGCCTTTGTGTGTTGGGAACTTTTTGGACAATCTACCAGTAGCAGACCCCTGCCTTCATTCCTTGGTGCCTGCATTGTCCTAACCTTTGCTTTGTGAGACCCAGCTATTAGCTCTGCTGTCCCTACATCTTCTTATTTCTTGGTAAATAAGCAATGATTGCCAGCACAGCAAGAGAAGGTGATTTTGAAGCAGATAAGGTTGTTCCCATGTTTGTTCTCATGAGTGCCCATAAGCAGTTGCAGCACGGTCATCAACATGAGAGTCTTGCCATTCTTGGAGAGCTCTCTCCATTTTCTATACTGATGGATATTTTACTTTCTAGGCCTACCTCTGCTCTTCCTTTGTGAAGAAGAGACCCTCAAAAATGAGGAATCCCCTAGAAAGAGAAAATGTTATGCCTGAAGCCACAAATGGGATGGCATTTGTCTTGGAACCCATTTCCCTGGTCCTGAAGGAGAGAGTTAGCTGCTTTATGCTATACATTTTTTTTTTCCTTAAATGTGCCTTTTATTGCATTATACTTCTCTTTCCATCACTTGCAAATTGATTATTCAGGTCCTACCTTTGACCTGTAAAAGCTCTAGTGAGATCAAAGCAGGTTTTTTTAATTACTTTGTTTTTTCACAGTTGGTGTGAGCCATTCACAGCTGATAGGTCATGTGTGTAAAGAGTAAAAGTAAATATTATTTCAGATAGCAAAGGTCAAAGTGTTATATATGTTTGTCTTATTTTTTTTTTAATATAAACTGTGCTGATAAGATAAGCTAATAAAACACCATTTAAAAATCAATAGTGTTAGCTTTCCCTCACATTTCTGCCCATTGTGTGGCCCCAGGTGTGTGCATTTTGTGCAGAGCACAAGGTGCAGAGTGCTTCTACATGTCAAGCCATATATCTGGAGAGCTCAGCCCTATCAGTTAAAATAGATATGTAGCTGAAAACTTACTCCCTACAATTGTGATGACTCTGCAGGCAGCTCCTCCTTCTCAGAGTGCCTCATCCTGCTGCCTCCAGGCCCCACAGATCCTCCCTCCGAGCAGCTGGCAGGGGGTGTCCTTGTACATGGAGCCCTTCCTCAGTGAACTTCAGGTGTGAGCAAAAACCAGCAGTGTCTGCCTCCTTGGGACTGGCCTGGCTTCACCTCCTGCCTCTCTTTTCCTTGTCAAACCTTTTGCTGGAACATGACCTTTCTCTTTGTTTTCTTGCAGGTACCTGAAGAAAATATAAATGGTGTGGTCAATGCACTCCAAGTCAGTCAAGCTGAAAAGCATTAGAAATCTTCTGAGCTGGTTCCAGATGCTTTTTATTATTCTAATAATAATAATTACTATTATTATTATTATTATTCTTTTTTTCTCACAGTATTTCTTGAAAAATCTGATTACAGAGAGTGACATGAAAAGAGACTGTGGAAAGTTGAGCAGAAACAGCTCCAATAAGCCTTTGTTTTAATTATTATTATTATTATTATATTATATTATTATTATTATTATTGTTATTGTTATTTTATTAAATTTATGAATGAGGGGCAGGAGGAAAGGGAGTTCATATGGTTTTCTGAGGTTCAGCTCCGAGGTGAAGTGTACCCTGGCTGTGCTCTCAGTGTGGAAGGAGCTGCAGCCGATGGCAGCACCGTGGGGATGCTGCTGAGAGCAGTGGGATGGGCCAAGAGCAGATGGACACTGGCTCAGAGAGCCCTGAAAACCAGAACCAAAATGAAATATGGAATTAAACAGAAAAGACATTGTGTTGTACTGGGTTGTCTCCTCGCATCAGACTTCCTGAGGACTGTCCATCTTGCCTGTGCTGAGATAGGATGCAAAGGGTTCTGTTTCCCCTGACAGAACAGTTTGGTGTTGGAAAAGGGGAAAATACCCAGTTGTTTGACATTTCCTTTTTCTTCCTCCCTGCAGTCAAAGCCTGGCTGCTCTGAAAAAGCCTGGGCAGGGGGAGCTCAGCTCTGGCCAGCTCCTGGCAGGTGGTGTCACCCAGACTTGTGTCTGCATTGAAACTTGGCTGGTTTTGGTCAATTTTTTCCAGTCACTGTCCCACTGCTGCCATTCCCCTGCTCCAGGACAGCTGTTGTCCCTTATCCCACATCAGAGCCTTGTTCCCCAGGGCCAGCAAGAGGAGTAAGGCCTCTTTTCTCCTGTCCCCTCAGGCTTTTTCCCACCCAGTGTGCACACATGGGGAAATAAAGGATTGCCCAGGGTCCCTGGGTAGCTGCTCTTGCACATCCCAGGCCTCCTTGGCCACAGCAGCTTCCCCCTGCCAGGGCCCCGAGTCTTGTGGGGACCCTCCTGCAGTTTTTCATCAGCTCCTGCATCACACAGGTGGAAATTGCTGCTGGCTGGGGACAGTAGAATGGTGCTGAAAATACCTAAAACCTGCTAGCATCTGGTCCTGTCCCAGGAAGATGATGAGGCATTTCCCATGGGGCAGCAATAGCGTGTTTTCTTCTGGCTTTTACCGCAGCTGAGGGCCAGCAGGAGCCAGGCTGGTGGCACCGTGTCCAGGCTGTGGCCACTGGTGTGGAGAGCACAGCAGAGCCCAGGGCTGGGAGAGGAGTGTTACCCAAGAGTGGGTGCCAGCAGTCTGTCCCATGTGTGACCTTGCTTTTGTGATTACCAGCCCCAGCATATCTTACATTTCTTAACTTCTTCCACTTCAGTCTTGACATAAGGAAATGGCAGATCTTGCCATTTTCCTGAGGGCTTTGCAGGGGGCTTCAGAGACAGCCTCTGGCAGGATTTCCCTGAGGCTGTGCCAGCTGTGAGCCAGGGTTTTGCTTTAATCTGGAGGCAGTAAGCAGGCACCTGGGATTGTGCCATGGGTGTGGTTTGTACTGGTGTGTGGGACATGCAAACACAGACACAGCTAATTGATTGCTTCTGCATTCACAGTACTGGAGGGCAGTTATGGCTTCTGATGCTGCTGGATTCAAACACCGAGTTTCAAATCTGATTTTGCTGTTCCTTTACATGGGTTTTTGGAATTGTCCCACGATATGTTTATATTCACTCCAGATTTCTGATCTAAAGGTTTGCTCTAGAAGTGGCACTGTGCATCTCTGGATGTTTGTTTGGAAAGATGCTTTGGGACACAGGCTGCACAGTGCAGTGTTGAAAGCATTCAGAGATGTTTGCTGTGGCTCGCCCTGTGCTGTGGGCACTGAGCTGGAGTGGGGGCACGGTCAGTGGTGGCTTTTCACCTCATATTTTATCAGTTACTCCTTGGGAAGGCAGATTGGCAGCGTGGCTGGCAGGGAGGGCGGCCTTGAGTTGCCAGCCCAGGTTTGTGATCAGCTGAGTTGAGCCTGAGTTCTCTCTGTGTGCATGGATGGTGCCACCAGGACAGAGTCATCAGGACAGGGTCTTCCTTTTGCTCTGGGGTTTTGTCAACCTTTGGGAGATGTCAGTTTTGAAAATGCTGCTTCCAAAGGACTTCAACGTGGATAGGAAGGAATTAACTCCAAACAAGCAACTTTACTGAGCCTTAAATGAAAACAAAAAACCATAGGTTTTAATTTTCTAACATTGCACTCAGGCTATTTTAGAGGCTGATTTTTGTAATTATTTTTTTTTTCTCCCCCAAGGGAATCAGCCTTATATTTGTGAAATCTGTTGAAAGCTTTGTGGTATTTAGAACCTTCCAAAGGAAGGTTGATGTCCCAGCACAGGACAGTTGGCCTGAAGAATTCACAGGATGTAAAATGCCATTGAAGGCTTCTGATGCTGCCATCATCTTCGACTTCACCTTTTAATTTCCTTTTATATTTTTATCCTGACATCCAAGAAGATTGTTTCAGACAACTTGATGCTTTCCCTTTAGTATTCCCTTCATATTTGTTCTGGTGGGAACTGGGATACTCCAAATGTGGCCAGAATTGGTGGAACCTTGTCCCTGCACCCAGCCTGAAGTCAGGATCAATGCAAGCTTGCATAGTGAGATCTGCCCTGCAGGAAGGGGTCTCTTTGTTAAATATTTTCATAGTAATAATAATACCACCACACTATTAACACTACAGTGCTTAGAGAACCCAAAGTAGGGGGCTCTGAACTCTCAGCACCCAGCCTTTGGGGTAGGGAAAATGTTGAAGAGTCTTTTCCTTTGTTTAAATGCCTTGTGCTAATAGGTCTGAGCATCCTGACATTGTGCTGTTCACTGGTGTGTGGATAAAGGAGGAACATGGCTCAGCAGGACATCCTTGGGCTGAGTGCCTGGATTACCTGCAGCTGCCAGTGCTGCCCTCAGCATCCCTGCTCAGCTCTGGGCAGCTCCAGCTGGCCATGGCCCTGCTAATGAGGGATGGCCTCAGTGCTGCAGGGGGGTTCCTGCCATCCTTGTGGAGTCCATACACCCACACAACTGTTCAAGAGCACTGGCTTGTCCAAACTCCTTAATTTAGAGGTCAGCAAGGTGAATGGTAGGTGCTGGGTCCTGCAATGGCACAGTCAGTGTTCACTGAGCACAGGTGTTCCTGTCAGCACTGGATCATTGGTATTTTCTGTTAATCAAAAGGGAGAAATTCTTTATTTGGCCTCAGGCTGAGCATTGCTACTAATTCCTGAAAGAAGGTGTCCCCCAACAACATTCAGTTACGGACAAGAAATCATTTTCTGATCAGGATTTCTTCTCTCTCTGTTACTTTGACTCTTGTGGCCATCTCCAGTAAGCAGCTTAAGGCATCTCACTTACCTGTTCCAGTCCTGCCTGCAAACATTGGATTGGATTAAACTTTTCTTATCTGCAGGAGAGTAAAACCCAGTAATCCTTTGCCAAAAATATTTACACTTAGCATGTGCTGGGGTGTGTTTGCATTGGCTAAAATGTGCAAAGCTGCCTCCAGCTCTCTCTACCTTCTCCCTCCCCATGAGTGCATCTGTCTGTCTTGTCTGTCTGTCCCCTGCCACGTGCCAGGGGCCAGCAGTATCTCTCAGGCATCCTGGCAGCACTGAACTGGTACAGAAACAGTCTGTGCATCCTCAGCATCCTCAGCAAGGCTGTGGGACCTTCCCAGGTTCCCTGGAAGGGAAACACTTGACTGTGAAGGTAATCTTGAGTTACTTTGCAATCCTTGGCCTCCTTCTTTATTTAATCCTTATGAAGCACAGCTGGGTTGAGTTACCAGCTCCAGTTAGCAAAGGTGAAGGAAAGAAAGGGGTTCTGCAGTGTGAGACGTGCACTGGATGCTGATCAGCAAATCCTGGCTGCAGCAGTTAAAGCCTCTGCAGATGCTCTGGTGAGCACAGAGCAATGCACAGCCCCTGTTGTATGAAGAGAAAATGGTTGAAGTATGGATCAAAGTACATTCTCATTTTAGGGTATGAATTTTAGGGTTCTGTACCTCTTTGGAACATACATAAGCCAAGATCTTTTCTTGGTGTCTCTAGACAGCACTGGTCATTTCAGATGCAAAGTCTGGGAATGAATGTTGCCATGTTACTGCAGATTCCATGAACAGCTTCCCCCTGCTCTGTAATTCTCTTGCAGCCATGACCTGTGCTTCTGCACGCTCTGAGTTTGCAGAGGGCCTGGCCACAAGGGACCACAAACCTCTAGCATCTCCTCCCAGCTGAGAGTGCCTAAGTTGTATGGCCAAGGTGGAGGGAGTGGCACAGGGATGGCAGGCACACAGCTCCTCCCCTGCCTGCTCAGCTCCAGCATGGCCACAGCCAGCCCAGCTCAGCACTGTGCCAGCTGTGTGGAGCAGGAGAGTTCAAAAGAGCTTTTAATGCCCTGGGCTCCCTTGGGGGCTTGTTTTCATCCAATTTTAGCTTTCTGCAAAATTCTGTAAATGAATAGCCTGTCTTGTTCCCTTACTGTTAATTCCTTACATAACCCATTCTCTCCTTTTCATTAGAATTAGAGGGTGGGTGATCACCTCAATTTCCCTGACACGTTCACCTGCTCCCACCACCGAGCCATGCCAGCAGGTCCTGCTGCTGCTGGGATTTGGGTCTTGGTGCCACAGTGCCCTACAACATCTGCAGCCCCACCTTGCAGTGTCTGGTTGTGGCTGCAGAGCACAGCACAGGCTGGTCATCTCCTGCCAGAAGGGTTTAGTTCTGAGGGAGCACTGCACAGAGGGAGGAGAAGCCTCATTGTTCTCATCAGTGCTTTGGGCAGATTTTTAGTTTGGTTCCTCTGGGCTAAGGTTCAGTGAGCCATCACCCTGCAGGATCACACTGCACCGTGCAAGGTCAGGGTTGTTAGGAGGGGTTGGCCCTTCTGGGGCCATAGTGCAATGCCACTTTATTAGTGCCTCAAGTGGCTTCAACAAGCCTGAGCATTTCTCTTTATCCCCTTTGTAAGGACTCCAAAGGAGCCCATATTCCCTCCAGACACCTAAACAACACTAACCCAAATTTCTAGAACTGCCAAGAGAGCAGAGATGCTCCTGGTGCAGAAATTGCCCAGCCTGGATCAGGGTCTGTCTCTCTTCCCTGGCTGCCTAGAACAGCTGTGCTGGGCAACCTGGGAAGGAAACACAAATCTTTAGGACTTTTTTATTTAATAAGTTATTTATGTATCATTTGCTCTGTAAGTGAAATACCACTTTTGGCCTCAGACACACACCAAATAGGCTGAAGTGGGGCTGGGAACCCCAAACTCTTGCAGCCTCTCCTCCCTGCTCACCTCTCAGAAACCCCATGCAGCCTTTCATTGGGGAGGGTGGAAAAAATTGTGTATTTATTTCCCTTTAATTACCAGATCTGATGCAAAGAGACAGGGTAGGGGAATCCTCCCCATGCAGGGGCCTTTGGTACAGCTCCTGCTCTGGGCTGCAGCCATGGAAAGGCTGCTTGCACCTGCCTTGTGGGCAGTGCCCATGGGCTCAGTGGGGCCAGGCCCTGCACGTGTGGATGGCGAGCTCCTGTAAGTTTGGGGGGACAAGGTACAGAGGAGTCTGAATGTATCAGTTGCCTTCATGAGCTCTGCACGAGGCAGGATGTTACACCACCAGGCACAGGGAATGGTGGCAGCAGCTTGGGATCATGCACTGGACATTGTGTGGAGCTGAGAAGTGGCTGCTTTGCTTTCCCAGCAAGTGCACACGCTGCTTTTCTTTGCTGGTCTTATGCTGAAAAGCTGAGATTTATGTACTGTATGAAAAAACAAAACAGAAAAAAGAAAAAATCCTAATGTTCCAAAATAAATGACAGTATATTTTGTACTTTGTAAAGTAATTAAACCGAAAAAGAATAAAAAGTGAAACTTATGCTGTCTGCTTTTGTACTGATCAAACTGATGAAAATAAAGCAGAGCTTGGCATTGTCTGCAAGATGTAACTCTCATTTCTTTCACCTACAGCCATACTGGGTGTCACTCACACACACACACACACAATTTATGAAGGCCAGCAGACATCCCTGATCTCTCTGGTGTCCAGGTCCTGTCCCTGGGTGTATTGTACCCCTACAGATGAAACCCACCACCCTCCTCCAGCTGTTTTCTGGAAACCACCAAACCTTTTCAGTGTAGTGTAATCCATTGTTTACTCTCGTGATCAAAACAGTCATGTAAGAAGTTACTGTGGGATTGTTAATATGGAATGCAGCCTTAATACAGAGCACTGCCTCAAGGGTTTAATCCAGTAAAACAAAAAGCTGTATAAAGCAGCACAGACACTGCCCCACAATCTCAGCACTGCCTACAACTCCCCACAAAAGCAAATGGTATCTTAAGGTGAATAACAGGACTGAGGCTGTTAAACTGGTGTCCAGACCCCGAAGATACCGATACCTATCCACAACAGCATTTTTCTTACCTCACCTGCCCAGGCCCACACCTTTGAGCAGGAGGTGCTGGGGCACTGGAGGGAGATGGGGGAGATTCCATCCCCTTACAAAAAATGCTACAAAAATAGATTTTTATGAGTTATGATGAAGCACAGTGAAGTAATATTGTTTCTGGAGTATTTTGAATGCTGAAGGCTAACGATTAGGTTCTCTGACTCATCTGTTTTTGAAGGATCCTGTAGAGAAAAGTCTGTTGTAACACAGCAAGTGCCTAAGATAATCTTTATCTTACAGGTGTTGGTGTGTTTTATCCCCAGCAGGGCAGTCTGCTGACAGATGAGACCAGCCTTGCTGTGTGGGGGCTGCAGGGGAGCCTGGGGGGGCCATGCTGGATTCAACTCTCAGCAGGGAATTGCCAGGACCCCTTGGGATGGTGGGGTGTGGAGACCTGAATTTGTGCAGGTACGCTTGGGCCTGAAGCTCTCACCCAGCCTTCCTGCAGCTCCTCCAGTCCCCAGCCACTGTGGCACCTCTGTCAGGCCGCCTGGAGCTGTTTGTGCACAGGGCTCTGCACCAGGGGACCCTCCTGAAGCCCTTCTGGGCTATTTTAAGCCAAACACGCCAGCACAGTGCTGATCTGAGGGCAAATCACTTGTGTAATCAATGCCAAATCAAGCAGATTATTCTAGTTCTAATTTGAGCTGCTCCCCATGTGCATCCTTGGCCCATACACTCCCTCACTGCAGGTATATTTAGGGATGCTGGGATATTTTGGGCTGTCTACTTTGCCATACTTTGAAGGACAAAATGATGCAAAGTTGCAGTTCACAACGGTGGTGACCTGAAGCTACCCCAGCACTGCTGGGCTCCTGTATGGCCCTGGTCCTGCAGGAGAAGCATAAGCCACAAATAAGGTTGGATCTGCCTTCAACACACAAGGGGTGTGATGGGGAAGAGGGTATTTTCATTTTCTGAGCCAAGACTGAGCCCATCAGCAACAGCAGGAGCGGCTCCCAAAGAACTGCTTTAGAAAGGGGAAAAACTGCTGCACAGCAGCAGCTAAAAGAAGAGTAAGAATCTGTGACAGACAACCATGTAGATACAAATGTCAGCAGAGGAGATGAAGGAAGTAGAAAAGTCAGAAGCAGGGCTGAACCTGGGAAGAAGGGAGAGGTGTGGGAAAGGTTAGACTTTTCTGTAGTTACTCTAACTACACAAAAGAGTGCAGGTTCTGTGCTACAGTAGTGTGTGTGTAGGTTAGACTTGTAGTTAGACATACTAATTCCTCATTACCCTGCTCTGTTTCACTGGCAATAGAATAATTTCCCCAACATGAGTCTGCTGTGCCCATGATGGTAACAGCTCCCCTGTCCTTGTTCAACCCACATGTTTTCCTTCAGATTCTCTCTCCCTGTCCTGTTGATGGGGGAGGGATGACAGAGCAGGCTGGGGGGCACAAGGTCCCAATGCTCCCCCCACACTGTAACAAAAACATGGGCAAGTGCTGGTGCTTGCCAGACTGCTCTCACTGCCACTAACCTTGTTCCCACTAAGCAACATGTCTGAGAACACCCACAATCACTGTAATGAAGGCACAAAAACCCCCCACTGCATTAAGCCATACAACACTCCTTTTTAGGGCTGAAGACCTCACTGGCATCTCATTAACACAGAATTTGCAATTTATTGTACAGGAAGAATGCAACACAAGGACTCAACCCAGCTCTTCAGAAGGCCCAGCCCCAAGGTGCACCAGGAAACAGCTGTGAATGAGAGCAGCTCCCATGAGGCCAACAAGACATGCCTGGGCACCACACACTGCACAAGTTGCATAGAATAAGGTATAAATTAAGGCCAACCAAATGGGAATTCAGAGTACTGAAGGTCTGCCAGTTTCATGGTAGCTTTCTGTTCTGCCCCAACCACCCAGCAGTGTGTGTTACACAGGAACATCAACAACAACTCAAGAGATGTGGCTCTATTTCCATGTACTTTGGTTCACCTTTCCTGTATTTCATGCAAACCCTTCAAAACTTACTTTAATTAAAGTTTACACACTGAATTTTGGCACAGAATTTCATCTAATGAAGCCAATATATGGATGCAATACCTGACTACAACGCTATCAGTCCTGCAGATATGGAGCCAGCCCAGCTGACAAAAGTGGTTTCCTGTCACATAACTGACCCAAAATGCTGCAGTTCAAATGCAGAGCCAATCAATGCATGAGCAAATCATGCTCAACAATATTCCTATTACTACTGATAAAGATTTTACAATCACTTTATTGAAAACCTACTAGCTTGGATTCCACCTAAACAGTTTGCACACTAAAGTATCCCACACAGAGAGAAAAGTCACAACTCTGCCTGATGTTTGGAGTGTTTCACAGGAGACAGTTCCCCACACTTGGGTGTGAGATTGGGTAGGTGCCTGCTACAGATACAGCTGTTGCATCCCATCTCTATCAGCTTACTGCTAAGAAGATACCAAGGAATGTAGCTCTGCTTCTTACCCATTCCTTCGCCTGCTAGGCAATCCTGAAATCCCCAGCTAATTGCAACTGAGAGCCACCATACCTCTGAAAACAGAAAGAGTGTAGGGAATCCAAAAACAATCAAAGGCAGTGATGTGTGATCAGCACAAGGAGACAAAAGGTACCTGAGGGGTGGTGAGCACTGCTCACATCCATGCCTGAGCACTGATTTTGCAGGCAGCTGATCAAGGGCTTTGTTTCCAGCCTCCCTCAATAAGCTAGACTGGCTTGTCACCATCCATCTGTCCTGCAGCACAGAGCCTGCTGTCTTATTTGATAGTACTTACCCCTGCAAACAGGCTCTCACTCTTTGAATGTGCTCCTTTGGGGTTCAGTCTTTAGCACTAATACAGAAGGCCTTCAACAGCCCACAGACACATCACTGCCTCCAGGCAAGGGCTGCGCATTCAGTTTCTGCACAGGGTAACAGCCTGGGCACAGTGCAGATGAGGATGGCCACCCAGGATAGCTTTGCTGGGCTTCAAGACATAGCATGACCTCTCTTCCACATAACAGTAATAAAAAAACACCCAAGTTTTCCCTTGAGAAATAGTTTGGCTCTGCAAAACACTAACTCCAGAACAGGTGACAGGAAATGTCCATATTTCAATGTCCTGTGTTGTAGATTTCATCCCATGCCAGTCTTCCTTAAGGGAGATGCTCTGCATGCACAGAGGGGCTCACCAGCTTGGGGCTGGGCCTCAGATTCTCTGGGAGCTCATCACAAAGGAGCAAGAGCACTCCCTGCATCTCCATGTTCCTCGGGGAACGTGCTTCCTTCCTGCAGCCAGGCCACAGCATTTCAGCAAGGCAGGGATGATAAGGCACCCAGACGCTGCTTTGGCTGTCTCTGCTCACAGTCACTTGGTTCCATAAAATGAGTTTTCCTTTCCAAGAAGCTCAAAAACAAGCCCTGGTACAGTGCTGAGACCCAGCAACATCTCTAGGTGAAAGACCTGACCATGCTTACCATATGATCAACTCCACATGCCACATCCACCACCTCTCCGGGTACAGTCACCTGGATGAAACACATGAGACTGGGTTATTTATCAAGCTGGTACTTTGTACCTGGTACTTCCTATTTCTCATCCTCCTGCTCAACATGCCAGCTAGTTTCACAGGGATTTGTACCAATGCAAGTGCCAACTTGAAAGCACAGAAAGAGCAAGATTCAGCACCAGGCAGGCTTGTGCACTGAGCTGTGAAATACTCTTTTTTCCTTCACAGAAGCACATAAAGCTTTGGAAGGAGAAAGAAGAGCAGGCTCACTAGCAGACAGTGAGGAGATTGTAGCCTCAGCCCATCTGTTCAGCAGTAGGAGCAGCATGACTGAACAGAGCATAATCTAGACATTAGGAAGAGGGTCTGCCCAAGTACCACAGGGATTTGCCTCTTCTTCCATCATCAAGAACTGGAACAAGACAAAGATTCAACTCACCCTAAGGCAGTTTGTGCTTTGATGCCAATAGACCAGCGCCTCACTCCAGAAGCTTACTCACTTAAAACTGACTTCAAACTTGAGGAAAGCAGAGTCTAAAAAAGCAAGTTTTTCCTTAGAGGCAAGACAGAGGACAGCAGCTAGTTGTAGGGCAGGAGGTCACAGACAAGGATCCTGGCACATTGCCACAGCACTGTCAGACAGGAGCTGCCTGTCTGAAAGGGCATAACCCCCAATGTCCAGCCACACCTGGGGAAGTGAATTTAGAAATTCCACTCAGCCACAGCAGTGTGATTTTAGGCAAGTGTTCCAGAGTTGGTCTGGTTTTGTTCATTTTTAAGAAAAGAAGAAAGTATACTACAGAAACACATTTACTGCAAGTTCAGACACAGACAGGGTGGTCCAACTGATCGCCTCCCTCATCTCCTACTTGGCCTTCATGGAGACCAGGAGCATCTGTTAGGCTGAATGCAGAACTCCAGAACCAAACTCTCTTCTACATCCACTGAGTCTGGCTCTCAGAGGCATCTGGGGGGAAGCAGTGGAACTGGAAGCACTGTG